CCATTTTGCCAAAAAATGCATGGCTCGAAAAGTACGTCGACTAGCGTGCCTTCAAATAAGGAGTTTAATATGGGAGGGCATAGCAAGTATACAACTCATACCCAATTTCAAACATGTGGGTCAAACGTTCCTGACGCTTATGCGTGACGTCGTAGCGAAAGGTGACGTACGGACGCAACGGACGCGACGGGACGCTTACGGACAGACGACGACCCATGGCAATAAGCTCAGCCTTGACGATGTCAGGTGAGGGCTACAAACTGGCAGTCATAATCTTCTAAGCGCACGCCGCCAATGCGAAACATCTTCTGTGGTTTTCTTGCACACTTGAGACATAATGGTAGCAACCTTTGCCAGTTAGATATGTCCCAATGATCCTCATAGAGGGCTCTGGTGGGTACGATGTAGCTGCTCCTAACACTAAACTCCTTTCAGGATGTACATTCTGGAGTGTTTCCCTCACGATTCTCGTCCTGCTTTTACGCCCTCAGCTAAAAACACTCACTTTACCTTACCACGCAGCTATTATACATAACCGACAGCAGCGTCCCACGAAGCATATAAACGCCGTGGCATACAGAACAGATAACGGACAGATTTAATTCAAAAGATCATCGGCTTCAGGCTCAGGCCCGCTAGCACACGGAGGCACACAGGCACACAGCTGCAGCGCCCGTCAGCCAAGGGGGGGTTCGCGGCCGTCGAACGAAGCCCCCCCCCCCCCGAGCCTCCCCCCAAGCAAAAAAATTTTTTTTACGCTCAGGTCGCTCCATTTAGTGTAATAATTGCCAAAATCTCCAATCGTGGCGGGACGGGTGAACAGTGAACACCCCCTCCTCCACAACGCCTCCCCTCGCTCGGCATCGCTCTGGCTCCCTCGCCTGGTCGCTTCGCGCCGAGCAGGGACTGTGTACAGGGTGGGGTCCAGGATTCCGGACGCCCCCTTGCTCCGCGCAAGAAAAACGCATCCGAGGGGTGTACTTTTAAAAAATTTTCTGGGGAGGTCCACCAGACCCCCCCTTCGCCGCATGCTCCGCCAACTTTTGAGTTCGGTAGACCCCCCCTGGTACAAATCCTTATCACGCCCCTGCGAGCAAATTGCCTCAACATTGAAAACGACCCCCCCCCAATATAAGCTTGGCTACGTGCCTGGACAGCTAGGGATGGCTTTAGGTATTGAAAACGTTTTATGACAGCTAGGTGCACCACAGGCACTTGAACGTCTCAATAAAAAAAATTAATGGGTAAATAAACCACGAAATGTACGACAAGTGCTTATGTTTCTCTACTCTATTTGCGCCTTTTAGTTACCATTATTTTTTTTATTGAGCACGTGTCCAAGTGCGCTGTGGGTAGCCAACGGGCCCACGCGTTGGACTGTCATCGAAAGGGCGAGCTCCTCGCAATAGGGTGAAGAGTGAGATGCGAGGGAGCGAAGCGACCGAACGGGGGTGGGCGGTGGGAGGGGGCGTTTTTCCCCTCCCACGGTAACGGAGCTTTTGCATATTTTATAACTTCAATTTGTCTCATTTGGTGCATTACTTAAAGTGACTGTTTTTCAGATATTGATAAGATTTTTTTTGCTGCTGCGTGAGATAGTTTCAGCGTTTTATTCATGAAGAAGATATATTCATGCGTGAGATATCTCACGCATTTTTTTTGGCTGTGGCTGATATTGTTAAGATCATGGCGTGAGAGCGTGAGATGGCTGGTCAAATGCTCACGGTCAATGCGTGAGAGGTTGGCCAGGCCACTGTAATGAAATTGCATCATTATTATTATTATTGATTAATTATTGATTAATTATAATTATATCATTATAAGCTCTTTGGCTCTCGCAAGATTAATCAATCAAACAAGATCTTCATATCTTTAGCGGTATCTATATGGCAGATGCCAGCGACTCCGCACACCTTGCTTTATATAGCTCTCTGGAGTTGAGTTTCGTAATTGGAAACTGGAAACCAGCACGCAAGCGAATACGTAGAATCTGCAATGTGAATAACAGAGGTCAAATGTGCCACTAGTTGGTTAAAATGTGAATGGCTGAGTTTCGTTAGGTCTAGTATCTTACACTCTCAGGGTCGTATCCAGGAATTATTTCTGGGTGGGCGTAATCATAATTTGTTGGACCTTTTCACAATTAAATAGCCAGCAAGATTGTGATTACAATGTCCAATACAATCAGAGGCGTGTACAGGATTTTGCTTACCAGG